ACACACACACACACACACACACACACACACACCATTCTTGCTGGAATACAGTGATGCATATCTGTAATCCCAGCACTTTAGAGGTGAGGGCAGGAACATTATCTATCTTAGCCTATGTAGCAGGACTGTTTCAAAAGAAAAAAACCACCACTAAGCTTCACAAAATATTAAAGATTATTTTCAGTCAGTAAAAATATAGTTCAATAATTGAATGGATGCAAAATTGTATAGTCTGAAATGGCTGTCATTCTTCAGGGAAGTCTTTGAAATGTGGCATTTTGTTACTGCTTTGTAATATCTTACACTGACATTTTATCTGCTTTTAGAATTTTCTTTGCCTTGTACAGAAGATGTACCAACTTGTGGAGACAGCTGTGACAAAGTACTCGAATGTGGACTCCATAGATGTTCACAACGCTGTCACCGAGGTCCTTGTGAAACATGTAGACAAGTTAGTCACAGCCTGTAACAATTACTTTTTAGAGCTGCATATCATATGATAGTATTGTCTTGTGATTGTTTAACATTTTTGCTTTTATGTACTTCTACATGATGATCTATAGGTGTTTAGTGTCCTAATATTTATGGTAAGAATCAGGAAAAGTATGTGCTAGCAGTCAAATGTAAAAATCTCCTTTTTTGTTTGTGCTTATAAATGTCCAGTGTGGAATTGTTTTTTTCCATAGGATATTGACAACAGTATTGAATTAGGCATAGCTTTGATGGAAAGAAGCAAAAGCCTAAATTTGGGACTTTAACATTATATATGTCTCTGGGCACTGGTGGCTTATGCCTGTAATCCTAGCTACTTAGGAGGAATGCAACTTAAAGTTAGCCTGGGTAGGAAAGACTGTGAGACTGCTCTCTCCATTTAAGTACCAAAAAATGGCATAAATGGAGAGCTGTAGCCAAGTGGCAGAGGGAAGCCTTGAGGAAAAAAGTTTAGGGACAGAACCCAGTTCAAGCCTCTGACAATGGCACACAAACACAAAAAAGTTATGTATGTCATTTGGTTTTGATCATACTGCCTGGTCAACCAGTTAGGCTGCTAGACTCAAGTTTTTCTGTTGTAGTGAGACAAGATGTGCAAATGTTATGATTGTTATGACTTAAGTGGTTTTAATATGTGTTTTTTTAATGTTTAATATCAAATTTCTACTAAATTTATTAACATTGATAGGAAGTCCTTTTTGGAACCAAGTAAGATATAAACATTTTAGGAGACTCAATTTTGATTTTGGTGATATTTACAGAGATTATTGTGTGAGGAAAAAACAGTTTTAATAGTATTGTTTTGATTGTTCCAGGAAGTGGAAAAGCATTGTCGCTGTGGAAAGCATACAAAGCGAATGCCCTGTCATAAATCTTATCTGTGTGAAACTAAATGTGTTAAGATGCGTGACTGTCAGAAGCATCAGTGTAGGAGAAAGGTATAGAAACACTGATTTAAAACTTGTCTTGAATTTTTCCTTTTTGGGCCTATGATTAATAAAGGGCTTATCTTGGTCCTCAAATGTTCAGGTATGTTCTTTATTTTCCATGTAAAACACTAGTAAATAGCCAACATAATTTCGTTGTTTATCATTAGTAGGAAATTATGCCTGTTTTTTTATATAAAAAAGTCTCAAGCCAGGAATTGTAGCATCTGCCTCCAATCCCAGTGTTCAGAAGGCTGAAACAAAAGGATCTTGAGTTCAGTGCCAGCCTAGGCTACATAATGAGATTCTCTCTCAAAGAAAACAGAAAAGCAAGCTTAGGTCTGGGGCTGTTGTTTCTATTCTCTGGATTTAAAATTTCATTAAGAGAGTGTGCTGATTTATTCTGATGGTTGGGACCTAGCAGAAGTTAATAACAGGAATTATTTTTGATGCTTAGCCTAATAGAAATTTTACTGATATATTTTACTGTTCTCTCTATATATGTAGCTCTTCTGGGTGCTTTTTTTTCATTAAGAAACAGCCTTTTTGTAAAATTCCTTCTAAAGTTTATTGAAAGAGTGATAATATTAGCCTTGCTTAGTAGTCACATGATTTAACTTTATTCATTCCTAAAAGAATGTACATTTCTTCTCAAGAGTTTAGACTTTATCTAAATTGACATCATTTATCATTTGATTTGGGTAAAATCACTTAAAGTTAAATGTGATCTTTATTATGGTTGGATTTAATTCTGCCATCTTGGTATTTGTTTTCTAGATATTTCTCCACTCTGCTTTTGTTCTTCATTTATTATTTTTTTTTGGGGGGCGGAGTGTGTGTGTGGGGGGTTAGTCTTAGGGCTTGAACTCTGGGCCTGGGCGCTGTCCCTCAGCTCTTCAGCTCAAGGCTAGTGCTTTACTACCACAGCACCTCTTCAGGCTTTTTCTGTTTATGTGGTCCCGAGGAATCAAATCTATGGTCTCATGCATTTGAGGCAAGCACTCTACCACTGAGCCACCTTCCTAACCCTTGTTCTTTGTTTTTTGATGATATCATTTCATCTACTTCATTTGCTTATTAACTACAATTTATTTCCCTCTTCTCTTTTTCTCTTTTGACTAGTTGCTTAAGAACCTTATTACAGTAAATTTCCAGACATAAAATACATGATTCTAATCCATTTAATACCCCTATATATAAACCCCAAATACATGTCTACATGTTTTTTTTCCCCTACGTTTAACATTGAGTTATTTTTGTATAACACAATTCAAAAAATGACAAGTAGTCCTTTGTTACATCTATTTTTGGTGCTTTTTCTTTTTTTGTATAGATTGAAGTATCCTGTTTTGCCTGGTGTTCTTTAGTGAAAAATTAGGACAAGTCATAGCTATATCACAGACAGCAAGTCAAGACGAGAAAGACAGGTGTAGGTAGTCTACATTTGTTTCCCTTTCTTTTCATTCTCTAGTCCCATGTTTTGAAAATGGTGGCCAGATTAATCTATTCATTAAACCAATTTTATTTTAAAAACAGACCGACTAATAGCCAGAATTGACTACATTTAGATCGAATCTATTTCTTTTGTAATGCTGCCAATCTCTGCATAGATAAGTAAATGAAATTCTTTGATGGAAGTTAACCGGAATATTTAACTAAAAAGCAAGAAAATTTAACTTGAATATATCAAATTAAGTCATTGTCTATTTAAACTAGTAAACTCTTAAAAATAGTATCTGGTTACCAGAAGAATGCTGATATTTTTTAATATTTTCATTGTTAGAAAAATTGCTTTAACTTTACATAAGTTCTTTGAATAACTGAATTTATGCATGTATTAATGATACTAATTTATATTATTAAGGGTAATGTGATATACCTGCCTTTCAGATATAGTCTTTATATAGTGCTTTCTTTTTAGTGTTGCCCTGGAAACTGTCCACCTTGTGATCAAAACTGTGGACGGACTTTAGGATGTAGAAACCATAAATGTCCATCTGTCTGCCACAGAGGTACAATTTAACAATAGCTGTCATTTTGTTTTTGCATGTACTTAGTGCTTTATATCCATAGGAATTTTCATATTCATTATGTTTTGTGACTCCTTAACAATCTTAAGAAGGTAAGACAGTTGCTAATACCTGTTTTTATAAACAAGGCAAGTAAACCTAAGACTTGTTAAAAGTTAATTACTTAGTGATTTATTCAGAAAAATGAATATTCACAGTCTTGTGGATATGGAAGTTTTATATTTTCTGTAAACCATGCTGTTATTTCCCTAGCCATCTCCACTCAGTTTAAAGAAAATACCAGTTAATATACACATAGGAATTTTTCAGTTTTGTTCTGAATTTTATTCATTTATATGGAATTAAATCTAGCAAGGGATTGAATACATCCTATGCCAGTGGTTATAAAACATTATTCTTGTGATTTGTTTATACTTTTTGGAACCCTAAAGAACTTCTGTTAATGTGAGTTTTATTTATTAACAGTGACTATTTGAGTTAAAATAAAATAGTGTAGTTATTTTATTTAAAAATGGAAATATAGACCCATTACATTTAATATAGATGTTTTTGTGAACAATTACTACATTTTCTCTTTAGAAAACTAGTGAGAATCTTTTTTTTTGTACTTTTTATATATGACTTCTTTTGCTTAATGTATGTTAAGATTCATTAGTATTTCCATCATTTCCTTATTCTTATAGTTGTACAGTATCGTATCCTGTTGTGCAAATACAATAAATTTATTGATTGTACTTTTTTTGAGGTATTGGGTTAAGACAAAATTTTTAAGTCTGAGACCTTTTTCCAGGCAGTTGCTATCCATGCCCAGAAACCGTTGATGTGAAATGCAATTGCGGTAATGCAAAGGTGACTGTGCCCTGTGGCAGGGAGAGAACCACGAGACCACCCAAGTGCAAAGAGCTATGCAGGTTGGTATGGAGCTCCTACAAACCTACACTTGATACCTTACAGCTTAACTCAAATGTTTTAAATATTGTTAACAGGTTTTAGTGTAATTTTGCTTTAGTGTTTTTAAAATGTTAATATCCTCAGTATGTTCATTGCACATGGAATTAGACAATACAGAAATAGATCATTGAACTTTACATATAATTGTTGAATTGTCAAAGGACTTAAACATTTCACTTTGTGATTTAGTCGACCACCATCATGTCATCATACAAGTCAAGAAAAACATCGGTGTCACTTTGGCCCTTGTCCACCCTGTCATCAACTTTGCCAAAAAGTTTTGGAGAAATGTGGCCACTTATGTTCTACTTCATGTCATGATCAAGCATTAATAAGGCAAACTGGCAGGGTAAGAGAATAGTATTAATAAAGAGATTGCATGTGGTTGTAGTTTCTTGATTTTACATAGTCATTCAATAAGCAATGACTAAGTACTTTTTGAGTATGAAACATACATTAAACACTATTCTAGATACAGTGGAACAAGGAAAAGTAAGGCTTGGTCTTTGTGTCTGTGTGTTTGTGCAAGTTTCAGGGCCTTACACTTTCTCAGCTTGCTTGCTCACAACTGGTGCTCTGCACTTGAACCATGCCTCTAAAACCTGGGTTTTTTTTCTCACTTTTTTTTACTGATTAATTGGAGATGTGTCATGGACTGTTTGTTCTGCCTGAGCTGGCTTTCAGCCACTATCTTCTAGGTCTTAGCCTTTGAGTAGCTAGGATTTTAGGCATGAGCTACTAGTGTCTAGAAGATTTGGTCTTTTTTTCCTTAAGCTCATAGTACGAAAACTGGGTGTGTGTAACTCCATGGTAGAGCACTTGTGTGTCTGAGGCCCTAAGTTTGATCTCTAGCACCCGGGTGGGGTGAGGTAGAGCTATGAAGAATGCCACAGAGTAGCTTCCTTAAAGATTCACTGACTTATTCAGTATTCATTGAGCCCTTACTATGGATCAGACTTCTGACTAGGTAATGAGGAACAGCAGTGAATATAATGATTACATTGAACTGGTGGGTACTGGAGTTAACAGTTGTATATCTCATTCTCCTTTTGGCTTTTGAGAATTGAAGGAGGCTCTATTTAAATGTTGTTTCAACTTTTAAAAAGTGGCACTTTCCAGTATGTTTGAAGGGTAATAACTTGTAACATAGATGGAATAAGATGTTTCAGTAAGCACAATTTGTTGATTACTTGAAGAAAAATTCAACCTGTTTAGACAAATGATTCATTAGAACTGTTTTCTCAGAGTCTTAAAAAACCTATATGATTTAATCTTTCTGACTTCAAATTGTCATGTATTTTATTCATAGCCCCAACCTTCAGGACCCTGGGAGCAGTCTTCTGAGCCAGCATTTATTCAGACTGCATTACCCTGTCCTCCTTGTCAAGTTCCTATTCCTGTGTAAGTGTTAGAATTTTAACCTTTCTGGCTATTTCTGTTTTTCACTTAGTATTGAACCTCTCCCCTTTATTTTAGTTCAGTTCATCATTATTTCAGGCCTGGCCTGTAAACTAGTCTGTGTTCAGCTTCATTTTCTTTTGTTTTTTGTTTTTGGGTTTTTTGTTTGTTTCAACTGTATTTGCCATGATAGTTGCAAATCTATGGATCTCTCTGTTCTGTATTGAGTTTTAGGTATAAGTCTGTCTAGACTTTTTTGGCAAGTGAATGTTACCTTTTGTTCCAGTACCACTCTTTGTTGAAAAGAATGTCCTTTACCTGTCATTTGCCTTTGTCAGAGATCAGGTGACTGTGTTTGTATGGGTCAATTTTTGGGCCCTGTTCCATTGATTTAGTTTTTCAAGTCTTGAAGCCAGATAGTCTCAGTCTTCCACCTGTGTTTTCTTCAGTATTGTGCTACCTCTGTTGTCTTTCCATATTTTGACTTTACAATTAGTTTTTCAATTCCATGGAATTTCGATGGGAATTGTGTTGAATCTTGATAAAATCTTAACAGTATTGAGCCTTTCTCTCTACAGAAAAGGAATATCTATTTAAATCTTTAATTTTCTTCCCTGGCATTTTGTAATTTTTGTAGGTAAGTAGATTGAGGTTTTTGTGTGGAGTATAGTCTTGTGATTTTTAAATTTTCAAATTCCAGTTATTCACTGCTATTAGACAGGAAAAGAAGCCGATGTATATTAATGTTGTATCCTGTAACCTTATAGTAATTGTTTATTTCCATATTTGTTTACTTTTTATTCACTAAAACTAATGGAGTTAGGATCTTTGGTTTACATATTTTTGAAGAATTTATGTTTTTATTTGTTTCCTTGTAGGGAATGTCTTGGGAAGCATGAGGTGAGTTATAGGTACAGTTTGTAAGTAAGCTTTTAATTTATATCTCTTTTATGCTAGTGTTGTTAGACATAACAAGATTGGAGTGTAGTACTTTAATGTTGTAGCTATTATAGGTTTATCTACTCATTAAAATGTTTTTATTTAGCTTATGTATATATGCATTCATTGCAGAATTGCTATATTAAATTTCCCTTTTAGTAATAGAATGCTTTATTTCTTGGGCTCTTTTTATGTTTTGCTAGATTACTGTGACTTAGATAATAAACATTATTATTAATGAAAATGTATTAGACTTTCGTGAAATCTGTTCTTAAATTATAGGAGTCATTTTGAAAATATGGGTCCAATGTACAGGTCGTTATGTCGAAAAATGAACTTTACAACTTTGGTGGGGGGGAGGATTGGTGGGGGAGGTAGAGGGGGGGATGGGAAGGGATGGGAAGGGGAAACAAAGGAGGAAGCAACAATGGTTGGTAAGAAATGTACTCATTATCTTGCCCATGTAATAGTAACCCCTCTGTACAGTATTTTCACAATAAAAAAAAAAGAAAATATGGGTCCAGAAGATTTTATATATATATATATATGTGTATGTCAGTTTCATTTTTATTTTTTTTTAAGGTGAGTCCACTACCATGCCATGTTGCAGGACCCTACTCTTGTAAGAGAGTTTGTGGAAGACTCCTAGATTGTCAGAATCATACATGTATGAAAGAGTGTCACAAAGTAACTGAAGTTGATGGCTGCACTGGCAAAAACAAGGTAATAGTCTTAGGTTGAATGCATGTATGTCTACATTTTCAACCATCATAGTGTAAATATAGTTTCCATTTATTATAGATTCTTCCTTTTTTCCTCCCCTTATCCTTTGTGGCCTGCCTTGCCTTTCCTAAAAGCTACCTTTTTCAAACTTGACACATAGGGTAGCTAATGTTCCTAATTTAAAAATTTCCAATCTTTTACTTTCGTTGGGGATATTTTAATGTATATTTCACCATAGATATATGGTATGTATGTGTGTGTGCACATAAAATTATGTAAAAGCATTTTAAAGTCCTAAGAGAAATGAACTGTTCAAAGATCTGTAAAAATGACCAAATGTATGTAATCAAAGTTCAAATAATAGTAAGCAAAATAGTTCCTAGACCTATAGAGAATTATACTATAAGCAGGCATTTTAATGAGAAATAAGTCAGAAAACTTCATTTTAATTTTAAATAACATTCAATTTACAAATGTTTTAATTAATATGAATTGTGTGATTGAAATATTTATTTGCATTATTAGTTTTTTCTTTTATTGTTGTAATATGACATCAGTGCCTGTGGTATTATTTTGTTCATGTACACATTTTTTTTTTTTTTTGGGTCCGGTCGTGGGGCCTGAACTCTGGGCCTGGGCACTATCCCTCAGCTCTTCAGCTCAAGGCTAGCACTCTACCACCTGAGCCACAGCGCCACTTCCGGCTTTTTTTCTTTTTTGCTTATGTGGTGCTAAGGAATCGAATCCAGAGCCTCAGGCATGCAAGGCAAGCGTTCTACCACTGAGCCACCTTCCCAGCCCTCATGTACACATTTAAATGCACTGCTTATGATATTTTAATCAGTATATGACTTGATTTTTATAATACATTGGATAAAAAGAAAAAGTTATTAAATACAGTATAAATCAAACTAAAAATAATAATCAAAGTAACTTTAACTATGATATGGTTTTCTTTTCTCAATTTCCAAGACAACAAATGAATCAGGAAAAACACATTCAAAGCCAGTGTGACTATTAGGAAATTATTGTGAATTACTTCTTGAGTAATAAGTTCTTTTTAAAAGAAAATTATTATTTTGTAGGTATGGGGTTGAACTTAGGGTTTTATACTTGCCAGGACTGTATTTTACATGCCTTCAACCGTCTTTTTCTTTTTTAATGAAAATTGCAGATGAGATTGGGATAGCCAGACTCATTGTCTTTTTTGTGTGTGTATTCTGGTCACCGGGCTTGAACTTAGGGCCTAAACACTGTCCCTGCCCTTTTGTATTCAAGGCTAGCCCTGTACCACTTGAGCCAGAGCTTTACTTCTGGTTTTCTGATTGTTAATTGGAAATTAACAAACTTTCTCCACCTGGGCTAGCTTTGCTGTGGTCCTCAGATCTCAGTCTGCTGAGTAGCTAGGATTACAGGTGTGAATCACTGGTGACTGTCTTCATTGTAGTATTTAAAAATAGTCTTTTCTAGAAAAACAAACTTGATATAGGAAGTAATCCAGAAAGATTGCTTAGCAAGTGTATATTTAGTAATTTTATTTTCTTTTTTTCTATTTTTGTTTGTTTTTTTACAGTTGAGTAGAGTTCCTAAGTAAATATATGTGTTACTGATAGGGAACCTGAAGCTTAATTTTGTCAAGTGAATTCTCTGTGCTCATAAAATAGGAAAGTAGCAAGTTAGAAAATGGTATTCCTGGCTTCTTAAATCTCAGCCTGGGAATGCTTTTTTCTTTTAATATTTAAATTGAAGAGTATTGTAGGTATCCCATATAGTTAGAAAGAGCAAGTAGATTCTACATGTTAGTTTTGTGTATGTTTATATATTTTGTTGTTCATTGTTTTCTCTTCCTGAATCTTTGCATTTGAAAAAGTAGTATTGAGTAACACAGATAACATTTACCCAGTTGCATGGGAATTATGCAGTTTTCCTTACCTTCATTCCTCTTATCCCATAGAAAATGAGACAAAATGTTAGTCTGTCTTTTTAAACAGATCTAGAAGCTGACCATTTCTTATAACTTGTACTAACAGCTCATCTCAGCTACCAATTATCTTTTTTTTTTTTTCTTTAAGCTACCATTATCTCTTACTTAGATTTCTTAGTAACCTTCCACTCCCATTTTTATTAGTTTGAATTCAGGGCCTTAAGCTTACTAGTTAGGCACTCAATCACTTGAACTACATCCTGGCCTTTTTTGCTTCAGTTATTTTTCTGAATAAGGTTTTATGTTCTTGTTGAGACCTGCCTGGACTTTGATCCTCCAATTTAGGCCTCTTGTCCTAGTCAGGATGACAGGCATGTGCCACCATCCCTAACTTATTGGTTGAACTGATATTGTACTGATGTTTTCTCTGGGTTGGCCCCAACTGCCACCCTTCTAAGCCTTGCTTCCCATGTAGCTTGTTATTACTAGTAGGATCCACTGTGCCAGGCTGAATTCATCTTTCAGAAAACATACAGGTAACCTTTTGGTAGTTTTGAGTCTCTCTCAGACTAAAATCTCAAGGCCTGATCTATGTCTTGTAACATTCTATAGAAGTCTGACTCTTAATTACCTTACCCATCTTCTCAATCGAGGCTTGCTCATCACTCTTGCTTCCATTTGTTTCTGTTTTTACCTCAGTCTTTTTTTTTTACTTGTTTCTTTTTTTTGGAACTCTGCATTCCACCAGAGTTTTATGTATCTTTGCCTCATTCTGTTTAACTCAGTTTTTGTTCAAATGTGAACTTTATCAGGCAGGTTTTATTCTTGTTACCACCACCACATTCCTGTGCTTTAGCTTTTATTGGAGGGCTTATCAAGATGTTACATTATATTCTTTATTTCCCTCCTGGAATTTGTCCCATTTGTTCCCAGTGCCTGGAAGAACACCTGGCAGATAAATGCTGGAAAGTGTTTGTGGAATGAATTAGATGTTCTTTTAAAAAATGTACTTTTAAAAATAAAAAAATAGAAGTTATTTATAGAAGAACATGTTTGTAATGTAATTTGAAATACTTTTACTTAGTCTGAAAGCCAAAAATAGTTTAGAATTTTTTTAATACATTAATAATTACAATCATGGCTGTTCACAAATGATAATAAAAATGCTTGGTGTTTAATAAGTCATTTTTATGTCTAATTATAAAAAACAGTATTCTGCAATTAAAACTTCAAATTTCATTTTTATCTTCTGACACCAGTACATTAAATCACTACAGCAGAGAGAGTTAATATGTATGTTACACTAAGATATATCTATTTATGGGTGTGATTTAGCTTTAGTGATGTGTATTCAATGACGATTGTGCTAGTTGGAGGTGAAGTTAATTGATAATATTTTACTCCATATTTTTCCAGCACTATTTTCAGAAAATATTTTACATTTTAGCACTATTTTCAGAAAATAATTTACATTTTGCAATTTAGTGACCTTATGTGGTCAAGTTCATTTAAAGGGTGAAGTGGTTTGACTTAATGAGATTCATGAAAATCTATATAAATGATGGTTGTACTGATGATCTTATTCTTTATCTTGAATATTTTTAAGATGAATGAGAACATATGCCATTTTATTAGCTCTACTTTAAAAAGTATTATATGTTGGGAAATTCTTTCTGACATTTTTAATATATGTATACAGAGTATTGTGATCAATATATATTATTACTCTTCTTCCTCCCATTCCCTGGTTTTAAAAGAATTTCAACAGGTTTCATTGTTCTATTTTCATATGTGCATTAAGTTGATCTATTTATTCTTAATCACTCTCTGTATTAACTATACTTCTAAGATGTGCAAAATACTTTATTTAGTAGGATATCTAAGTTCAGTGTGTAGAATTGTAAGGATTTATTTCCATGCAATTTTTCAGGCTGGTTCAGAATGCCTTCATTGTGAAGAGGGGTGCTCTAAATCACGGCCGTTGGGTTGTCCTCATCCTTGTGTTTTGCCTTGCCACCCTGGAGACTGTCCTCCTTGTGTTCAGATGCTTAGAATAAAATGTCACTGCAAGATTACAAGCCTATATGTGGAGTGCAGGTAAGTAGGCTGAAGAAATACTATTTTATTAAGTTTATCTGTTTACCAAGTTTTTGTATTAAGTTTTAGTAAGCTTATCTGTCTATTAAGTTTATCTTTAGACCTTGTGTAGTCATGGACTTTTCAGTAGATATCTGAAAACAAGAAGTGTAGCTTAATCTATCTTCTAGATACTTCACTGTGATTTCAACCAGGAAAATTCTGCTTTATTCCATTTGGAGATTTTGTATAAGATTTTGTTAGGAAAAAAGTGTTATCACTGGCTTTTAAATAATTACAAAAGCACTTCTGGGACAGATTGTTCAAATTGTTCAACTGATGGTGTCAAACTAGAATTTGGTTTGATGAAAATTAGGTATAAATTTTTAATTGTATTTTTAATATGTAGACCTTTTGTTTCTTACACTAGTAAGTGACTTGAGCTCAAGTGGTAGAGCCCTGAACCAAGAAGTTCAAGGACAGCACCCAGACTCTTAAGTTCAAGCACCAGTAGTGGTACCAAAATAAAAAAGTGTCCTTTCTCATATTTAAAATTTTTGTGGCTTAAATTCTTTTTCATTTCATGATTGTAACTTTATTTAAATAGGCAAGTTAATATCCTAAATTTCCTTGTTAGAAATTTCAAAGCATTACATTGAAAAGCTGAGTCATTCTTAATTATAGAATAATAAAAACCATGATATTTTATATGTATTCAGTTATTCTTTACAGAGTAATCTTCTTTTTGATATTTGTAACTTTTTTTTTGTTTTTGGTGCCAGTACTTTGGCTTTAACTCAGGGCCTGGGTGTTGTTCCTTAGTTTGTTCATTCAACTAATTCAGCCATATCTCTACTTCTGACCTTTTGGTGGTTCATTGGAGATAAGATTCTCATTGATTTTCCCACCTGAGCCAGCTTTGAACCACAGTCCTTAGATCTCAGCCTTCTGGGTAGCTATGATTACTGAAGGAGTCACTGGCACCTAGCTGTGACTTTTTAAAAGTATTTTGCGAATCAGTTATAAAGAAATTGAAAAGCACACAATTATCTAAAATATAGTATACCCTTGGTATATACAGGTATGTGATTCCAAGGAGACTACTGTTGAGGAAAAACTGTGGATACTCAAAATGCATAGAGTTTAATGCTTTCATTACTCAGATTTGCATGTACTGTATGTATGTATAGTTGGTTTGATCATCCATCTATAACTTGAGTCACATGGAGTGGGCTACATTATTGTCACAAAAAAATTACTGTTGAATGCATTATTACTGCTCATGCAAAACTGGATCTTCATGTTTTTCATCTTGAATACTATGTGATCCATTTTTATTCTTAACACCAGCAACTTCCACTGAAGTCATGCTGCATTTCAACAAATTTAAATTTTTTACTTTATCACTTATATTAAACATATTATATGCTCTGTTTGGCTTGGAAAAATTATGATCACTTTTTACCTTGCCTTTTAGGGCACCATTTGATTTTAGAAGGCATATTTTCACAAAATTAAGGGCAAGGAAAGACTCAGCAGATCACACAGTGAAGTAAATGTGACTGATAGTAACACAGGACCGACTGAGCTGTGTATTTTGTGTGGGCATTCAAAATGTTTGGGTTTGAAATTTCTTTTAAAATTTACCATTTTATTTATGACTGCTTAGTCCAGTAATAAGCCTATGAATAAGTAGGCTTTCTACAATTTTAATATTAATATATACCTCAAAACAAATGGAAAAAAGTTTTCCAATGAGCTTCCTGTATTTCCCACTGAATAGCCTGAATTTTTCAATTGGAAATAATATATTAAACACTAGTTGTAAATTTTTTGTGTTCAGTGTTTTATGAAAAATTATAATTATGGATTGTAATGATTTATCTACGGAGAAAGAAACTAGCAGGAATTAGTAAAGAGAAGGCAGATCTGGATGATAATTTTTGTGTTTTGTATTGCCTTTTCATGATGTTTTTCCTTTTAACATTTGACCTGTGTAGAAAAAGGTATAGAAAAAGGGCTAGATATTTTGAGTTACCATAACTGTGAAGTAATTTGAAGATAATTGCTAGAGAAAAAAAGTGAGATAAGGCTACCTTCATGGATATATTTGAAGCTGCAATTTATTCGTAGAAAATTATTCTGTTCTCTCTGCTCTTTTCTAGCTCTTCTCAGCTCTTTCCTTCTCTTCTCTTTCCCAGCTCTCTTCTCTTTCCTAGCTTGCTCTTTCGTGGCCACCTCTTTCCTAGCTCTTTTCTCTCTCTTTCCAGTTCTCTCTCTTTCCCAGCTAAAAAAAAAAAGAAAATTATTCTTTTTATTCTGAAAAAAATTATGCTAAGAGATGAACATTGGTTTGAATTTCATCAAAACTTTCCCTCCTATTTTTAGAAAAATAACCACAGCTGATGTAAATGAAAAGAACCTCCTCAGTTGTTGCAAAAATCAGTGCCCTAAAGAGGTAAGCTGTAACCTGAAATTTTTTTTTTTTGTCTGTCGTGGGGCCTGAACTCTGGGCCTGGGCACTGTCCCTCAGCATTTCAGCTCAAGGTTAGTGCTCTATCATTTGAGCCACAGCGCCACATCCAGCTTTTTCTGCTTATGTGGTGCTGAGGAATCAAACCTAGGACCTCATATATGCAAGGCAAGCACTCTACCACTGTGCCACCTTCCCAGTCCTGTAAACATTCCTTGGAAGTAAACGTTCCTTGGATATTTTTTTTCTGGGATTTTTATTTTTATTGTTTGGCCACCTTATTCCAAGTTTTATTCTAGTGGTTCTTCACTGGGCCCACTGAAAATGAAGTGCAACTGTTGTCTGTGAAAGTGGTAAGACATAGTTAGCATAGATACATATCTCTTCATGAAATGTGTGAGTCGTAGAATAAGAAGTACCTCTTTGTGAGTATTAGAACAAGAAGATATTTTTGAGAGCGATTTTAAGGTAGTATATATGTTTTATGCAATGAAGTATTGACGTAGACTGCTCAAAATGTGATTTAGATTCAAAATACTGAAAAGAAGTAAATACAAAAGCTTGCAGTAAGTGTTTGATACATGAACAAATACTGAGCTTGTTAAAGAGATTAGTGTGTCTATGGGAAACAACAGAATACAAAGTGGTTCAGCAATGTCTTATGTAAAACTTAGCAGTACTCTGTCCTGAGGTAAGATGAGTGGAAATGTAATGTGAATGATGTAAATTTAGTTTTAGTATGAGTGCTTTGGCTAAAAGCTAAAGAGCAAAGCAAGTAGTTGTATACTAGACCAGAAATTAAAGGCAAAAAAAAAAGGATTCTGAATTTCTTAATTATTGGAATAAGTAGTTTGATAGACCTATCTGGTTAATCATAGGAATTAGAAATGGAGAATGGAAATGTTTGTTGAGATATAAACTAAGGTAATGTATCATTGTTAAGAGATTTATGGCACAATGAAAGAGCATTGTCCCCAACTGACTTCTATAATATCTAAATAATGTTGAATATATTTGATCTTTACAACTAGCCTTATTAAATACTGTTACTTTGCATGTTTTTTACATGTGAAACACAGAAAAATCAGATGACTTTTCTAAGGCCCCAGAGTTAGTAGCTAGCAATTTAGTTCTGATTTTGAAATTAGTCTGATTTTGAAATTCAATACTTAACCAATAGAATTTTATTTAACAGTCTGTTGGAGAGAAAAAATATGTATGAAGTGCTCAAAATTTTTTTGGTTGTAGTTCAAGACAGTGCAAGCAGTTTGTCAATAGTTTAGGAATATTTCTTATAAGACTATTATTTAGAGTTGCAAGTTAATCATATTAGGCTTTCATAGTAGTTTAAAGCTGTGCCTCAAAAGTATGGAGAACTGGGTGCCCATGGCTCATAACTGGAATCCCAGCTACTCAGGAGGCTGGTTCAAAGCCATTCTGGGCAGGAAAGTCCATGAGACACTTATCTCCAGTTAACCACCAAAAAGCCAGAAGTGGGGGTGTAATTCAAGTTGCAGAGCACCAGCCTTGAGCAGAAAAAGTGACAGTACCCAGATCCTGCATTTAATATCCAGTTACAGCACCAAAAAAAAAAAAAAAGGAAAGAAAAAGTTGGATAACCTTTGGATAGACAGGAAATTTATTTGAAAACAAATGATATCAGGATAGGAAGATTAGTAAATAAGGACAAGGAGCACTTAGACTTTGTGACAATTACTGACATGTCTCACTCCCCAAAAGTATGTATCAATACGTAGTATCAAGCAGTTTTAATATAATATAATGGCTGAAAGACAGGGACAATTTATTTCTCCCAGAAATTCACATTAGATATGAGACTCTGTACTCTTTAACTCATGTTTCCATTATTGCTTCAGCTTCATTTCTAGTACATGTAGAAAAAAGGAACATGGAAATATATTCCTAAAGTCCTTTGAATCACAAATCACTTGTATTTGGTTTCCTTCCATTGGCTGAGATGCAGTCACATGACTAAAACTAGCTTTAAGAGTGACTATGAGATCTATTTTTGGAGTGATGCTGGGTGGAACATTTAAAATTATGGGTAATTAAAATAATTTATCTCAGTGTAAAAAGTTGAAAAATAACTTATTAGCCAGGACTGATTTGTCCCTTGTGTGATAGACTCATGCTTAAAATAATCTTAGGATGTAGGGAGAGGTGAATGTGACCAAAATGTAAGATGTGATTGGTTTATGTTTGTTTTATTTCAGCTTCCATGTGGTCATAGATGCAAAGAGATGTGTCATCCTGGTGAATGTCCCTTCAATTGCAATCAGAAAGTAAAACTTAGATGCCCTTGTAAAAGAATTAAAAAGGTAAGTATTTTAAGTGATACAAAATGCTTTCTTATATAAGTTCTTGTCTGGTTTGGTTTGTATGTGGTGGTAGTTCTTTATTTTTTTTTAATATAAAGTCTTATTTCAATCTTCATTATAATAAAATGAACCTACTGTAAATTCTTATTTTAAAACGTACCTTTGGCAATTCAATTTTCTGCAATTTAATAGTAAACGAAAATTGTTTTATGTTGGAATCAAACTCAATGTCCCTTGGGGATAGAATCAATGTACTCTAGTCTTGAGGTCTTTGAAGAATATATAGTGAGAGAGTGGGTTTTATAGTTTAAGAAATGGTCTGGAATCAAACTTTGTTCTTTTGACACTTTTTTTTGCCATCAAGTATTGTCCTTTGAAAATGTTTCCTTCAAATGATTTAACATCCACAACCTCATAAATAATACAATATTCCAACTTAGAAGAAATTAATTTTATGATTAAAAAAATAGGTCCTAGAGGAGTAAACAGGTGAAAGTAGTTTACTAATCATTGCTAAAATGATTGGAAAGTTCAGTGGAATCAAATGATCTACAAAACCTGTGAAGAAAAGATATCAGGTCTTGTTGTTTCTTGTTTTTTTTCAGTTTCCATTTTTTTAAAACTTAGTGGCAGTGTGAACTCCTTAGAAACTTTATTTCATATTGACTCTGACTTACTCTAGCTTAGTTACAGTTGTAACTGCTTGTTTTTCTTCATTCTCCGATTTTTCCCTCAAGTTGAATTGTCTTTTTTACATTTTAAATTCACTTATATTCATCCCTACAACAGACACTTTTTGAGGATTTTTTAATGTCTTTTGGTATTTTATTTTCATAGTACCCATTATATTTTCTTGTAGTAGGTAACTTCTGCACTTAAATTTATAGTGTCATAATTAAATTGATTAGTTTTACATGAAAGCTATATATATATTTTTTTAATTTTTTTTATTTTTGGGTCTGGTCGTGGGGCCTGAACTCTGGGCCTGGGTGCTGTCCCTCAACTCTTCAGCTCAAGGCTAGCGCTCTATCACTTGAGCCACAGCGCCACTTCTGGCTTTTTTCTTTTTGCTTATGTGGTGCTGAGGAATTGAACCCAGGGCCTCATGCATGCAAGGCAAGCGCTCTACCACTGAGCCACCTTCCCAGCCCGAAAAGCTATACTTTTTAGCCAAATCACTTTTAATCTAAGATGCTCCTTTACTTTGTGAGATTTTTTTCCCTAGAGGGTTTTGTTTCCTGGAAGTCTTAAAGTAAAGAATAAAAATAAAATTGGAATTGAGAGAGGCACCTATTAATAATTACTAAATTGATTATTTTGATTTTATATATTCACTATTTTACTTGATAAAATGAAGTTTCTAAAGCAAGGCGATGTTTATAACCATACTATTATTAAACATTAATAAATCTGACAAATATTTTTAAATGGTTAGGTTGGGTGAATTTTGCTTCTATTTTTACAGTTCTGAAACTGAAGGAATGATCCTTTAAGATTTAAAATTTGGGTTATTTGTAGGAATTGCAGTGCAGCAAAGTACGTGAAAATCAGGTTTCAATAGAATGTGACACAACGTGCAAAGAAATGAAGCGGAAAGCATCTGAGGTAATGTGTCACGAAATGCTACTTCTAATGTGCTAGTAGCCTTTCGTTACTTTGGAATTTTATTTTATTTGATCAAAGTATATAAATGTATGGAAAATTACAGTGAAACCCTTTTGTACAAGTATACCCTTAAAGAAGTTTAATCTTTTTTAAAGCCTAATTTTATAGGCGTATTTTGAATTTAATGTATGCCTTTTTATATTGCCCAATGTGTTCTTAAACTGTCCTTCATGATAGTACATTTGCTTTGAGACATAGTTATTTGTTTCAATATTAGCATAAGCCTTCTGAAAATTAAAATAAGATTTTTGGTAGTCTTTGCTATTGGGGTGTCTTTAACACATTTTTCCCTCTGAAGTCATGATCAGTTTCAACTCTAGAAAAATGTGGTATTTAATTATTGATTCTAGATTCTGAATATATTCCATAAGAGGAAAAAAATCAAAATTTAAAAATATTTCAGTGTAGTGTTTTAATGCTTTGAATGGTGTTCTAACAACTATTAAAGTTGTTAAGAGATGTTTGCTTAAAGTATAATATTCCACTTGTGCTCCTCAAGTCTGTTTGATAGTATCATGGTAATAATAATTTCCAAGATAAAGCTCCCAAGAGTTATTGTGGGTTAGAATAGACTGGATTGGAAGATACCAAATTCTATATTCAATTTAAAAATTAAATTGTTAATTTACTTCTAAATATATATAAACAGATAAAAGAAGCAGAAGCCAAAGCTGCTCTTGAAGAGGAAAAACGAAAACAACAGGTAACAGCAACAAAATAAACAGATTTATGTCTCTTTGCATCATTGTTAGCTTTTGCACAAATTCAAGGTGGATATCTACTCTTCTAAACTGATGATACCAGAGTTTTTCTTAAGATAAATTGAAATTTGAGAAGGCAAGAGACCTTTTATATTCTTAGTTATTTCATCCCTTTGCTGGCCATAAGAATTTTAACTATTCTTTCTTTGTGGAAGAAAGAGAGGATAGCATGTTGTCATTGAAAGCATCAGAGCTCAGGTCTTCACACAGCAGAAATTGTTCGGGTTCTTTCTGAGTTGCAGATTATCTGTAACAGACAAGTGCTGTTTACTTAACAGTACATTTGTTTTAAAATATATTCCCTCTTTACCCTGTAGATCCTTAAATTCATGACTATCATCTGTATATTCCTGATAGTCTTTGATAACTTGAACATTTTATTGATCATACATACTCCAAAGAGTAGCTTTACTTTCTTTTTGTGTGTGCTGGTCCTGTGTCTTGAACTGAGGGCCTGAGTGCTGTCCCTGAGCTTTTTTGTTTAAGGCTAATGCTCTGCTACTTGAGTCACAGCTTTACTTGTGGCGTTTTTGGTAGTTAATTGGAGATGTCTCATGGGCTTTCTTATCTGGGCTAGCTTCCAACTGTGAACCTCACATCTCAGCTTCCTGAGGATTACAGGTTGGGTGGCTTCACTTTCTAATAGTGGTGTGTGATTAGTTGTCAGTTTGCATCTTGAGATGTTTTATGCTTATCAAATGGGTGTATTTTATACTAAATTACCTCCTTTGTGAACAAAAGTAGTAATGCATGACTTGGGAACATACCAGAAACAAGTCACGTGGTAAAGATTGGCCAAGATGATCTCTGATACCTTTATCATTCTATAAAGTTGATTTGCCAAATAGGCCCCAAAGTTTTACCACAGCTAATACAACCAGATTGGCTGGTATCCTGAAAGATTAAACTATTCAGGATCATTTGAAAGGGCTAGGTATGATGTGCTGGCTCATACTTATAATTCTAGCTACTCAGGAAGCAGAAGCCAGGAGGATTACACTTTGAGGACATACCAGGCAAAAAAGTTAGTGAGATCACATTTCAGTCAATAAGCTAGGCATGGTGGCACATACCTGTGATCTCATCTACGCAGGAGCAAGCATGTAGATAATTGGATTGTAGTCCTAGGCATGCCCAGGTCCAAATGAGAGACTCTACTTGAGAATTATCTTAAGTAAAAATGTGCTAGGGTCATGGCTCAATTGCCTATGTGGCAAACACAAGAACCTGTGTTCAAATACCAGTACTGCCAAAATTAGAATAATAATAATTTAGGGTGGTTTTCTTCCTACCACTCTTTTTAAAGAATTGTGTTGGATAGAGAGTTTTAAAATATAATATTTACTGATTTTTAAAGTGGAATAGATTAAGTAGATATAATGTTTATTTGATTACTTGGTGTTATTTAAGCATCAGTTTTTTCTGAGTAATCTTCAGTTTTTTTTTTTGGGTCCGGTCGTGGGGCCTGAACTCTGGGCCTGGGCACTGTCCCTCAGCTCTTCAGCTCAAGGCTAGCACTCTACCACTTGAGCCACAGCACCACTTCCGGCTTTTTTCTTTTTGCTTATGTGGTGCTGAGGAATCGAACCCAGGGCCTCGAGCATGCAAGGCAAAAGCTCTACCACTGAGCCACCTTCCCAGCCCAATCTTCAGTTTTTTTATGCTCTTGAGATATTTTGAAAAAATATTAGCAACCACTCAGGGAGCCAGTTAATAACATGTTTTAGTGAGTAACTACAGTATTGTGTATTATTTTTCATTATCATGTATAAAAGCTTTATGAGTAAATACTTACTGGAATAAAAATCCACATTTGATAATGACTGTCACCCAGTTATTCTTTCATAGAATCAATATCAAATTCTTTGCAAAATAGTAATTTTGTATTAAAGCATGAAATATATTTTCCCTTGAAGACTTTTTGCTGTTTTTAAAGCATTTTTGATACAGTGAAGACTTGAATTCTTTTTTTCTCTTGCTTTGAATTTCTTCCCTACAGACCATTATTACTTACCACCTGCAATGTAAAAGAACTGAAATTGTGTTATTCTTACTGGGCATCATAGCATTTGTTAGAAGCTGTTGTTAAAGTAGAAAACTGCTGTCTGTATTTTAGAGGCCCTGATTTAATCAGATATTTGAATATTTAATAACAAACTCAGTGCTGCAGTTTGAAATGATTATTTCCCAATTCCCTTTCTGCTTACCTAAACTGTGAATATGTTGAATTCAATCAGTAGTGGAGGGATGTGGTTTCTTTTTAAATCAATATATTTATACTATTACTATTAAAACAAATTGATTTGTTTTCATTCAAATGGAAAGTTTCAAATAAATGTTTGCAGTAAATTTAACAAAAATGAAACTGTTTTGATTTAGGCTGAACTGGAGGCCTTTGAAAACAGACTGAAGGGTCGTCGGAAGAAGAACAGGAAAAAAGACGAAGTGGCAATTGAACTATCACCTTGGCAAAAATATAAATATTACCTCTTTCCAGTGTGTGGAGTTGCAATGGCATTGTTTGCATGGTACTTCGCCTATGGTGCTGATTAAAGAAGTTTGGAACTTTTAATATACCTCAGATTGGAGTTAGACCAGTTGTTAAATTTGGAATGTTAAAAAATGTGTATTGTAGACCATGACATCTGTTCACGTTCATCTCTGTTCTCTTCCAGCTGTTGTTAGAAGAAGGTATGTTAGGCTTTGTCTTCATTAGTGCACTCACTAGCAAGGGCAGTGGCCACTGTTTAAAGAAAAGATGACTCAAGCCTCTCATAAGGCTTAATTGGTGGCCCAGTTACATGTTTGTTATTCATTCTGACTCCTCACCTAAGTGGTTTCACTTAATATTTCAAATTAATACATCATTTTCTTTTTGTAAATTCAGATTAAACTGAGCCGTATGTGCAGTGAGAAGAATATTTCTCTATGTTTTGGTTACTTATTGGGTACTTTTCTTGATCATGTACTTTGTACTTTTGTGTCAGTCATAGGGCTCAAACTCAGGGGCCTGGGCTGTCCCTGAGATTTTTTTGCTCCACACATCTTCATTTCCAGTGCTTGATTGGTGCTTAATTGGAGATAAGAGTCTCTTGGACTTTCCTGCTCTGTCTGGCTTTGAGCTTCAATCTTCAGATCTCAGCCTTCTGAGTATACTCTGTACTTAATAAAAAGTAATTCTCTAAAAGACCTGTTAAGTTGTAACATGGATCTTCATAATATATTGCAGAAGTTAGTTTGTTAGAGAGGGATTTTTTTTTACCAGTCATTGAAATAAATTTCACATAGTGTGTTCCTTAGAAATTATAATTGTTTTTAACAAATGCAGGGTTAGGCTCTTCACATATGGCTGTGTCTTGTGTAAGAACTGAATTGAGCATGTTTTGTAAAACTTGTATGTATCTTTTTAAGATAATAATAAGAGAAAAAGTAATATTTATGAGCAGTATGTACTTCGTACAGAGCTTAGGAACTTGATTCTCATTTCTGTTTACCATAATCCTAGATTATAGCTAGAAAAAATCTTATGAAAACAGAAAAATATCAGTAAGCTATTCTTTGAATGGTAAGTCATTTAAAATAGTTTTGCTATTTAATTTTTGTATGACTCATGTTTCCATTAAAAGTTTGCATATCAAATTGAAATCTAGAATATTGATTTTTTAAAAAAAAAACATCAGGGGCTTTTAATTGTAGGTCAGCATTGAACTTTAGTACTTGATGTAGAACACAGTAACTGATAGGTAGTAAGCTATCTAACTAAAAAAGTGATAGAAGTGTGTTTTAAATAGGAGTTCAAAGGAAACTGATAAAATTTGATAGATGTAAATTGAATCTTCTACATCATATTGTTTATATTGAGTATTAGCTGGTGACCAGAGTTGCAGGGAGACCATTCTTTCGTTTATGGGCTCTATGACTTTTGTTTTGGTGGTATTGAGATTTAAATTCAGGGCCTTGTGCACAAATGACAACCCCTTTCTAGCCTTTTTTGCATAAGTTGTTTTCCAGATAGTCTCTTGTGTCATTATCCTCCTACCCTGAGCGCGCCTCCAACTTTATTCCTCTTGCCTCTGCCTTCTCTATAGCTGGAGTTACTGCTTTGAGCCACCATACCTGGCCCCTTGGGCTTTTATGTTTTGATTTAAAAAATTTTTCCCAGTGGGTTTACTGGGTCGTTTAGAAACTCTAAATCAGAATCTGCTACATTCAAGTTAGTACCTGCTCAAACTAAAGTAATTATGAAGGACTGTGAGTGACATCTTAATTGGGAAGTCATTTTCTTGAATTTCAGAAACTTGGTCTATTAGGTAAGCCTGAAGCCTAGCTCATGCCTGTTTTTTGGGGGCTTTTGTTCTTGCCCAGATAGTTTTTGGTTTGTGTTTTCTATGCTTTGTTGGAAAGAATTAGTGATCAGAGGGAAAGATTGAATGAATGAAATGATCTTGTTTGTTTTTTCTTTGATTACCTCAGAGCTTAAGTTAGCCAGAGTCACAAAGCTGTTTATTTATTGAGATAACAGATATGTTTTCTTTGTGATAGTTACTTTCTAGGTACTAAAGATAATGGTACCTAGAAATCTTAGATTGTTGCTAAGGAGTGGAAGACAGAGACCAAACTGCAGAAAGTGTATGTTACTTCATTTGTGGTAAATGGTATAGAAAAAAGTGGAAGTAGAGGTTAAAGGTACCAGCTAATTTAGACTAGTAAAGTCCCTTGAGATGGGGACATTTGATCTATGAGTTGAATGACCTCATTCAACTCAAAATAGAAGGGAAAAATCTGTGACAGAAAGCAGCAAATACAGAATTCTCAGGTTTGGGAGATAATTGACATAGCTAAAGATCAGAAAAGGAGTTGAAAGAAGGGCATTTAAATTTAATGGAATTTAAATTGAAAGCACCATGGCCCATACTCTAGGCCATTTCCTGTGGCCTTTAGTTAGAGTGGATGGAGCAAAGACTGCAAGGGAGCCAGTACACGGGCACAAGTTGGGAGGTATTCTGTGTTGCAGGTGATGTCTTCCGATCCTGTGGCTCTCCATTGCCCCAAGTGAGTGCTGTAAAGAAGTTGCAGAAACTGCTATTATTAAGCTCTTGAAGGATTTTTGAATGTAAGCACTTCTATCAGTGCCTTGCGGTTGTATTTTAAGTAATTTCACATCTAAATTAAATTTAAACAGTCTCAGATAAGTAGATGTCAGTGTTGCTCAAATTATCAAAGGAACTTTACTGAAGCACATTATTTGCATTGGCGTTCTGTGAAGAGGCTCAGAATGACTAACCATCATGGTTATGAATGTTAAACATTTTTAAAACAGTAAGTCAATTGTACTGTTTAGAGTATAAGAGTTTTAATATGGGGAATGTATTTTTTTTAATTTGCCAGTCCTAGACTAACTCGGCATGGGTGCTGTCCCTAAGCCTCTGTGCTCAAGGCTAGCACTCTAACATTTGAGCCACAGCATTACTTCTGGCTTTTTCTGAGTAGTGTTTTGGAGATAAGAGTCTCATGGATATTTCTGCCTGGGCTGGCTTTGAACCGTGATCCTCAGATCTCAGCCTCCTGAGTAGCTAGGATTATAGATGTGAGTCACCGGCGCCCAGCTGGGGAAATGTAAAAAGTTTTCCATTTCCTTTCAAGACTTTTTTTCCTTTGCTTAGATGCCTAATGCAGTGAATATGATAAAAGACTGCCCTCGGAGTGTGATAATCTGTGTTGTGGGTCCCTTCACTTGTACATTCACTTCAGCTAAGGAGTGAACTCCAGGGTAGGCCAGTCATAGGAAGGAAAGGTTATCTATGCAAGGGCTCAGTTCATTGCAAAGGCTGATTTTCTGAGCTTCAGGCCTTGAGGTGTTGAGCCCTCATCTAGCCACTTACAATGAAATGATTAAAACAGTGAAAGACACTAATCTGAAGAATAATTATTACAAAAGACATTAGAGATGTAAAAGAGCCAACAGATAGGTAGCAAAGAGATCTTCAAGGGGAAAGCTACATCAATAACCTAAGGTCCCAGGTGTGACACTTTGACCAGTTATGTTTGTCTATCTGTGGACATGAGGAAGTGAGACAAATGTCTAAGCTAAAGTTGACATTAGGATAGCTGTCTCCTTTGGTTTGTGGAAGTGACCCTCTACTGAGTGACAGTGATTAACCAGCCTAACCTTGGGTTTAGGTCCTTTTGACATTGGAGAAGTTGGGCTTCATGGAGTGAGGAAGCAGAGACTTCTCTCTTGGGAGTGAGATGAATTTGGGAAGAACTGAGAAGCCCCTTTGCTTTCCAGAGAGGTTTAGGAGGCAAGATAGGTCTACTGAGAAGCCATTTTCATGTATTTTAGAATTTCAGGATAGAGCAGGTTCAGGTCTTTCGTTTGCTGAGCTAGTCTTGCTAAGTGTTCTTTCTAGTTAGGGTTGGGGCTTGTATTAAGTGCTGCGAAAAATACACAGGCAGGGCTGGGAAGGTGGCTCAGTGGTAGAGTGGTAGAGCGCTCAGGAGGCCCTGGGTTCCATTCCTTAGCACCACATAAGCAGAAAGAGCCAGAAGTGGCGCTGTGGCTCAAGTGGTAGAGCGCTAGCCTTGAGCTGAAGAGCTGAGGACAGTGCCCAGGCCCAGAGATCAGGCCCCACGACTGGGGAAAAAAGAAATGCACAGGTAGCATAAAGATTACACAACTCAGATTTATTGCCTTCACACATCGCTGGGCAGAGTCCCTAAACACCTTCATTACCTCGTCTGGTCTTCTGTTGCACAGCAGTTACTCCTCATTGTACTAAAGAGCATCTGGCAGTGTTACACATTCACTGTCTAACACTTTGACTGGAATGTAAGCTCCACGAGGGCATGGGTACAGCTTTGTTTATTGCTGTAACCATGGAGTTGGGAACCACAGCCACACTGTACATACTAGTATCGGTTTCCTAGGGCTGACATCACATGTGCCATGTGTAAGGTACTTTAGAATAATGGAAATTTATTCTCCCAAAGTCCAAGTGACCACAAGTCCAAAATTTAAGAGTCAGCAGGGTTACTTCCTTCTACAGGCCTTGAGGATGAAGAGAAACATGTTACATCTCTCCTGGCTTGTGCCTGGCATTTCCTGCTTATCATTGCACAACTCTAATCTCTGCCTTCCTCTTCATATCACTTAATATCTGTGTGTCCTTTCTGCATTTTAAGGACTGGGTTTTTGTCCTCTTATGAGTTCATCTTAACTAGATTGCCTGTGTAAATGCTGTTTCTCAACAAGGAAGTTCGCATTGTGAAATTCAGGTTGAACAACAATTGTTTGGGTGAGGGAACTACCCATTACGGTGTCCAATAAATATTTCATAAGTGAATTAATGCATTGACAGCATATTGTAGCCTGTAAACTTGCTGGTTGTTTTAACATTGTCTTCCCTTTATGGTTGTAGTTTGAAAAGACAAGTCTCTAGTCCCAGATTATGTAGACACCATTTATGGGTCTAACACTTCTTTTGAAATCTTAGGTAAGTTACTTACCTTCAGCAATATAGCTTCAGTTTCCTGTTCTGCAAAATGTTGGCAAGAGAAGCAACCATTAAACCATTAGTGCCTTTCCCTGTGAATTTGAGCTGTTAAGTGTCTGCAGCTCTTTTAAAGTTTTACATATTTATTTAATCTCTATAACAGTCTTATGAGGTGAGCCTATTCCCAGTTTATGGTAGAGGAAAGTAGATTTGTTCCAAGAATTAAAATTGGAGAAACTATGTCTCTTTGTGAAGTACTTGGCCCATAGTGCTTTAATATGTCCTAGCTATGATACAAATGAATGACTTCATCTCGTAATTAAGACTTTTTTTTAAAAAATAGATTCACAGATCAGAACAAAACTGTTGTGAACTGGATCACTTTTTGGTCATGTGGTTCACTGTCATTGTGAGGCTCTCCTGGGAAGACTAGTCAGGATGGTGCCTAAGGGAGGGGCATCTGGGCAGTCACGTTGCAGCAGGGAGCCCCTGAGCAGCACTTTATGCCTGAGAGTTCTAAAAGTACAGTTCCTTTGCAATTTCCCATAGGGCCAGTTCTCATTACCCTTGTCCTGATGACTATTCTGGTGTATAATTATTAAGAGTACTGGATTCATGTGCCAGAGTAGTAGGTACTGCAAACAGAACGATATGAATTAATTTTTATTATACTTTGGTGCTACATTGGACCAGAATAGATTATGGGAGTGTGGCATGGTTTTTAAAAGTCTTCCTCTACAATAGGCAGATTTCCAGATTTTCTAGTTCCTATTTAATTTTTTCAAAGCTCTATTCTAGCTTCCCAAAGCCATTGCCACATTTTTGCAAGTATTTACCCATAGTTTACACATTTTATCTTCAATATACTTGTTCCACTATATGGAAGTTCTTAAGAGAGCATGATCTGATTTTGTTAATTTGACAGCAAATCCTAAACAAATTGAACAGCTGTAGATCAGTTCTATCTATCTGTTGTCTGTTTTAGCCTACCATTATCCTAAGATACTGCTGACTGCTTCTCTAACAATTCTTATTTTCAGATTGTCTTCATTGGTAATACTAAGGACTAATTTGGTCTGTAGTAGGATAATCTGACCAAAGTTTGTTCTGTAAAATCAACCTGCCTAGAAATATCTAAGTTAACTT